CGTGTGGCCAACTTATTTTCCTTCTAATGGCCAACTATATCCCTAGGACTGAATATAAAATTCCAATGAATAAATTGTAATTGAAAAGATATCTTTTCATCGAACTTGTTTTTTTTATCATGACTTAGGTGTGCTGAATAATTAAATTTGAGATTAAAAATATTATGTATAATAGTAATTGTTTGTTCCAAACTAGAATTACTGTCATATAATTCTCTCTATAGGAAACTCCCTATGACGAATTCCTTTCTCTAATGAAGTCTTGTTGAAGACACAGTAATTTTTTATATTTTTTCATATATTTGAACCTCTGTATAACGAAGTTTTTTCAGCTACATAAACTAATTTTTGCATACACAAAAATCTCTCTATAACGTATATATTCAGACGCAAGCTGTATAGATATTGTGGATATCTTATTCAGTTTATAATAGGGATAGGGACTCTTTTGGCTCGCTAGTAGAATGGTAAACAGAGGGGAAGGAGATTATGTGCATTTGGTGAAAGTAACAGCTTTGAATGAAAGAGTGATCACTAAACACATGTGTGTGGTCTTGCTTTTAATACTGCTGTATAAATATTACCTTCTGCTCAAAAAGTATCCGGATTTTGGTTTTTTGTTAACTTCTCCTTAAGTAATAACTTTTTTGTTAAGTTGGTACACCCTTTATGGTACAAATTTGAGCGCCATCTGTCAATTAGTTTGTTTACAGCAGCTGTTAATGTGAGACTACCTCAAGTGCATTTAGCGATTTTTACTATGGAAAATTCTTGTTGTACGTGATTTTTTGACCAAACACGGCACCACTGTCATCGCTCCGGCATCATATTCGTCAGATCTGGTGCCGTGGTAAGCGTTTTGAGTCGATTAAATCGATAAAAAAGAATTCGCCGAAGGAACTAAAAGTCATACCTGCACGGCCTATGAAAAGTGTATGGAAGATTGGATTCAGCGTTGGCATGTGTATCGCTTCAGAAGGAGCATATTTTGAAAGAGATAAAATAAATTTGGAATAAAATTTAAATTTGTGTGTTTTATTTACAAAATCCAGAAAGTATAGGGCAGAAAGTATATTGAGCATCGTTGCATGTGTAAAATTATTTGATTTTACAAAAACAATTCGCTTTCTTATAATACTGCTCTTGATTTGCAAGGCAATATTCAAGACCATATTTTCAACACCACTCTATTATGGATGATACTACTTTTTTCAATACTTTCGCTGGGCAATACTTTAGAG